ACTAAGATTAAGCTTAGAGAGTATTATTTGTCATTTTATTCATTTTCATCCAATTTGTTTGTTCTTATACGCGTAAATTAACATATAATCCGTAAATAAAATCAGTATATGCGGATTGAATATATTATACAAATATTATTTATCCTATTTATTATGCAGCATTTGCTACCATTTATTCATTTAAACTTGAAATTCTCAATTGTAAAAGATTGCCTTTAATTAAATTGTTTCAGTTTTTTGGTTTTTTTCAAAGTGATTAAAATGTCATGAAAAGCCGAAACTAAAAGTATGTCCTTATTTATTGGAGGAGTTGACCATACTAAACTGTCTTAATAAGCAAATTTAATATTCCCAACACCAACTATTATTATGTAATAGTTGAAGATGATGCATTGAGAGAATATTCAAACGAAAAATTATTAATTGGCATTAGTAAAAAATCAAATATATATATATTAATAGTTATAAATCATTATTTTTTATATGGTGATACGGCAAAAGTAAGATACGAAAAAGTGATATGTAAAATTTTTCGATCCAGTAATACGCAAAAGTATGGTTCAATTTTTTGACATGGAGAGGTAATACCAACCATGCAAAAAAGTGTTCCAGGGCGTGAAAACATAATTGGTGATAGTCAAAAGTATAACCAATACGGAAAGATATATATTATAAAAATTGTACATTTGGATAACAACAATTAGATATGATTGGGTATAGAAAAAGTGATATGCAAAGGTAGAATAATATAAGGAAGTAGTAAGAAAAAATCACCAAGTGGGATATCAATTCGGCACTATGTGCCTCATCCTTGCATTCGAATGCAATGCACAAAGCAAAATACATATTGCAAACAATTGTTCTTGGACGAAAACGGCACAGAAAATCGAGTTACATTCCGCTTTCTATATTGCTTTTCCTGAAATGCTACATAAAGTCGATTGTGAACCATGGTTCACGATAGTCACATTTGTTACATCTTGGAGCCTGAATGCGGGCATGAATACATATTTTTACCGTCAATTAAACGCCCGATTTAACACCAAATGACAACATAAATATGGCCAAAAATGCAAAATTCACCTCACTTGACTGTTGTTGAAAATGCAAAATAACTATATCTCATTAACTCGCAATCGAGTGACGCCGCCATACAAGTGAATGCATTGTCGGGTCGTATATGGTGCTATTTTTTTTACTGCCTAATCAACTTGGCCAAAAATAAAAATGGGACACATTCGAAATCCCAGACTATCCCATCTATGTGGCCAAAAATTTGGAATGAGCCACACTCAAGTGTGTCCAATAGTTTGCATGTAGCCTGATGATGAAAATTGACCATGTCGTTATCCTGATGATAGTTCGCACGTGGCCAAAAAAGCGGATTAGGCCACATAGGTAGGTAACAGTCTAATGTAAGTAGTCACAATATATATATATATTGTGACCTACTGACGTCAGATTTGTGTCCTGGAATACTACATAAAAACCTTCAATTAGATCTTCACCATTAGTGCCAGTAATTTGTATACAAGGAGCATTAATTTTATCAGCTTGTTTACCAGACAATTTAAGACTTAACAGTTGATTAAGTATGGTTTGACTTATCTAGCCGATCTACAATGATCACAATGACTTTGACAGGCTTGGAATTATGTTGCAAACTCCCATTCTGAAATATCCATACCATATTTTGATAAAAAACCTTACATCACGTCTTCATCCATTTTTGTAGTTGGTACCTTTACTGGTTGGGGGATGAATATATTCAGTAAGAGTGATACAATATTCAAAGTAAAATCAACCATATGCAGAATTACTAACCATTTTGATTTTAAATCAGTACACTTTATTAACGCCTTGATAATTACATTTATTTCTGTGTGTGAATTATCCAAAAAGTTTTACTTTTGAAATGCTAATGACAAGAATTAATTAGTATTGCCGTATGTGAAATAAAAATTTATGTAATTAAATCAAAATTAAGTGATGTAACATAATGTCAATCGATAACGAACTTTTTTTTTAAATAAATAAAAATATATATATAAAAACTATATAAAATAAAAATTCTATCAGAACCTTCAACTAAAGAGATACAAACATGAAACCAAGGGAAATTATAGCAAATATATCAAAACTTTTAGGCTATAGAGTTTTTTTTTGCCAAATAAAAAAAAAGTTTGCCTTCATTGTTGATTATTCTTTGTGATTTCTTTTGTAATATCATTGTTAAAAAGCAAAATCTATTTTTCTTCCAATAATACCATTAATGGTATAAATTCATATCTTTTTATTCTTAGATAATATATAGATTTTCTTTTTCGTATAAAAAAATCAACATGAATCAACTTTATTACTAAAATAAAATAGCTTCCGAAATGTTTAAAAAAAGATCAATGTCCGACCTACTTAATAATTTAGGAAAAATAACCTGTTTGAGAATCTTCTGATCAGTCCTAGTCGTGTAACAAAGGAGTGCCATAAAAATAAAAAAGATAAATAAAAGAAATAACACGAGTTTCCTTCAAGAAATCAAAAATGTCAGGTAATGATTTCAAAAACTGCCAAAACAATATTATTATTTTAAGTGTCTGAGATATTTTGATAACAAGTGTTTATTTAGGTTTTCCAGAGTTTAATTCCACCAATAACCCCAATAGAATTTCTAGCAGTAGCACAAACTCTAATCCTTCGGATTATGAATCATATGGCGCGCTTGATGAAACATCATCACAAGTTAGCTTTAAAAGAATAAATATAATAAATTGTTTTACAATAAATAAAATCTATTTTTTAATTCATAATTGTTTTCTTTGTGCATATGTATATATATATATAGGCATATAACAAAGCTTCCCACTCACTTAGACATGTTACAATCAAACAATTAGATCAAGCAGAAGTAAGCGATGATAATAGTGTAATTAAATTAGATGGACACGAAATTGGATATGTAAGTATGAAATCATTTTCATTCTATTTATTGATTTTTCATATTTTTTATATTTTTATATTTTATTAATAAAAAAAATGTTATGATTTTGATACAGATTACGTTTATAGCAGTGATTACTAGTGTTTCCTCTCGTTTTTCTAATACTGAATACATAATGGAGGATGGTACTGGACTGATTTCTGTGAAGATTTGGCAGGATAGTACTGATGAAGCAAATGCAAAAAATGATGATATTAAGTAAGAATAAAAATTATATGCATACATACATACATACATACATCATATATTTCAACTAATTAATTAACATATTTATATTTGTAGGGAAAACACATATGTTACTGTATTTGGAAATCTAAAAGTTCTTAACAAGGAACGATATGTGGTAGCTGTAAAAATAAAACCTGTTACTGATTTCAATGAGATCAGTTCTCATATTGGTCATGTTGTCTTTGATCATTTATACTTTATAAAAAATGTGGTAAATATTTATCCTTCTATTTTTTTATGGGCTTGGAATATTCTATTGGATTTGAAATAAAGTTTCCAATAATCTTCTGTATATACTAATATATATGTATATATATTTCAGGGAACTCGTACATTCCTGAGAGAAAATTATAGTCAAGGAGTTAATAATTTTACAATTAATACACAGAACTTAAAAAATCCATTATACAAGGACATAATTGCTTTTGTTACTAATGATAATAATGATGCTGGAACTAATATTAGTCAAATGGCAAATGCTTTATCAAACAAACATGGATCTGATATGATTGTTGTGTAAGCATATTTATTACTATGTATTAATATATTAATTATTATTATTATGCATATTTAAATATTTCCACAACTATTTAGAAATGCTGTTGAACAAATGTGTTCAGATGGATTGCTTTATAGCACTGTTGATGAATCTCATGTTAGACTCACAGCTTAATAATAAGGTAAAAAATATAAGGTTTATTCCCTTCTTGCTCTTAAAAATAATAATATATTAATAATAATCATAGTCATAACCATACAAACAAAAATTTAAAAAGATGATGTATAAAAAAATAATATAAACTGTAATTTTGATTTTTGTTATCATATGTATGCTGCAACCAAAGTAAACATTTTATCATGTGACATAAATAAGAGGCTGGTGTGGCTGAAGTTTAACCAATTTGTTTAACAACATTTTGATTATTCATAGCTGTGAATTATGCACAACTGTTTTTTCATTTTTTTTGGCAGTTGGAATGAATATAGAGGAAAATCTTTTCTAAATTACATTCTTATTTTCAATCAAGGTCATTTTTAGCTTCAATTTGACCAATTGATTGATCATTTTGTTGTTGTAATTTGTGGCTTGTTAATCCCTTTTATTAACTCTTGAGGAGTTGATTTTTTTAATCTTTCTACTTCAGCTTCTAATTCCTTTATTCTATCTAATAACTCTTGTTTTTGTCTTTTATGTCAGTCTCTAGGACTTCTAAATGAGTATCCACTTCCTCAGTTAGTTGATCTCAGACCATTTACTTGTCTTTCATAAAAAGCATTTGGTTTCCTTTCATGAAGTAAAAACAGGGAGTTCCTTTTTTTCTATATTCTCTTTGTGCCTAATGTAAGCACAAATATAAGAATAATATCCATTCTAGTTTTTAATCTACCACATTTGTTGCATTTTGGTAATTGTTTAAATTTTCTCTTACAATTTTCATAAGCCTTGCTATTTTGGATTATTCTATCAGTCACTTTGCTATGAATCCCTTATCTGACAAACTACTTTATTACCAAAATCATAACAAATATAACAAGTTCCTTCATTGTAAAACCAAGCTTTCATATTTACAAACAAGTCTATTATACCAGGTTGGTAAAATCCATTTATTGTTCATTCTGAGAAAAAAGGCTTTCTGTTCTTCAAACAAAGGGAGACCTTCCACGTCATTATTATTATCATCACATTTGCTGTTATCAATTTCATCATATTTATTATTATTATTATTATCATCTTTGCTATTATCAATTTCATGATTGTTGTTATTTTCATCAGATGGAAGTAATTCAAATGGAACTGGGCTTAAGTGGTCACATAATAGTAAAGCTTCTCACAAGCTGACTTGTGAGCCAGATAACTTATTCAGCTTGTGAGCTTAGTAAGTTACTTGACTTGTGAGCTGGCTCATGTGGAACCTTGCTTTAAGGAAGAGATATCAAAAAATCAATAATTTAGATAATATGCACATATACTGTTCCAATGGGGAGCTGTAGGCAAGAACATAAGAAACAAAAATTAATAATTAATGAGAATAAAGCAAAAATTGACATTTTAAACTTCTAGAGTTGCTCACCCTTGTGAATGGATTAACTAATAATGAAGCTATATTCTCACTCATATCATCACTTTCTAGTGTCAATTAACTTTTTAATTTCACATTTATGATTGTATCTTGAAGAAAAAGAATATAAACATTTTTAATAGTATCAAATAAATACACACAGTGAATTTTGATTTAGCAGATTTTGGTTTACTGGATGTCTAATAAAAATCTCAATTTAACAGATTGAGGCTCAGAACTGGGCTACATTTTTATATAGTAAATTTTTTCGATATAATGAATGTACTAATTAACAGTGTAGGAAATTGAGTGCGGGTTTGTGTTAGATAAAAAATGCACATATTTTGTTAATCACCAAAAAAATTTTTTATTTATTAATTATTTTAATAAAATTTTTTAAAATCATTAAATACTATCTAATGTATCTACATGCATTTTGTTTCCCAATTTGTTTTTTATGAGATTTGTTTGCGAAAATATTCTTTCAACATGTGCATTGTAAAATATATATATAGTAAATTATAGATCACGGGGAACTAACATATTGTGAGATAGTAAAATGAGGACCGATAGAGAGGTCCCACGTTGCCGACCCAACCAAACCAAATTACTGCGGAAGTCACGTGAAAATCAAATCATTTTTATTTTTTATTTTTAACGTTATATTTTGTGAAATACTGTGCCACACATTGCGCAGTATCACATGCACAATTACTCATATTCATATTTCTATATTTACATTTCAAGAACTTGTTCAGCTGATGTAAATATTTACTTTAAATTATTAATTATTATTTGTAATGATCAGTTGACCCA